AAGTTGGCTTTCCTGGAATTTTACCTAAAAATACACTATTTTAGTTTAAGTCTCAGTAAATTAACCAGTGTCTCTAATTGTTCTGTTTTAAAAGACTTACTGAACTTACGCAAATAACTATATTGTCATAAAATCACAATCCAGACTTTGGAGAACTCAGAGAGAAAGGTAAATTTGTTTAAAAAACATACTTCATCCAAATAATTCAAAAGAAAAATACTTTCTTGACCGTCTTTAAAGTAGCATCTTTTAAATAAGAAGTCTGGATCGGGCGCGGTGGCTCACACCCAGCACTTTGGGAGACCAAGGCAGTTGGATCATGAAGTCCTGGCCAACATGGTGAAACTCCATCTCTACTAAAAATGCAAAAATCAGCTGGATGTGGTGGTGCACGCTTGCAGTCCCAGCTACTCAGGAGGCTGAGGCAGGAGAATCGCTTGAACCCAGGAGATGGAGGTTGCAGCGAGCGGAGATCACACCACTGCACTCCAACCTGGTGACAGAGCAAGATTCTGTCTCAACAAAAAAAAAGGTCTGTTTGCCATGGAAATACCATTCACAAGCCAAGCAGCTCATCTGTCTGTCAGGCACTGTGGAGTCCAGCATCTCCTCCCAGAGTTAGAATATGCAACTGTATTGCATGCTCTGCACATGTACCCCAAAACCTAAAATGCAATAAAAAATAAGGAAAAAAAAAAAAAGAATTAGTCCTATGAAAGTGTTCCCTGCTTATCAGTATCTCCTCCCTATGTCCCCAGATAGTAAGATTCCATGTAAACCATTTTTATTTTATTATGGAACTCTTTTGGGCACCATTGTTTCCATTAACATACGGATCGCTTCTGTTAACATTCCAAATTAAGGCAGTAAATGCCGTTCAACTGGAAATTCTCCAGTTTAGTCACTGTCGTGGGGAAGTATTTCGTCTTTTGCCATCAGCCCCAGTAAATGTTCCACAAAGGCTATGAAGTGAAAGATTTGTCCTGACTAGTATTCCAGCTTCTACTCTACACCATATGGGTTCAGGCAATCTTACTAGTTCCTATTTAGAGTGTCCAGTTTCTCAAAAGAGCAGATTTACATGCGCTTAGCTTTACAGACTAGAAAGGGGAAACATCCCCCAGTTAGATCCAGGACCCATTTTCATAAGACATTTAGAAAAAGGGGTTACAACTACCTTACATAAGGGTTGTTTAAACATGGTGTTTCATCTAGGGTGCTTGCTTTACCTGGTATTTCATACAGAGAGTTGGGCAGTCTCCTTCTCAGGGCAAACAGACCTTAGAGTGGCATTTATCTGGTCCACTAGCTAACTGTTCTCTCAGGAATGACCTCTTGTACATTTGGATCATATATACTTACTAGTGATTGTTCAATAGTGAGCTGTGGGGTCTGGCATCAACCCAAACAAGCTCTTAGTTTCTGTAGCATTTAAAATTAAGGATTTTGTCTTTAAAGAGGTTATTTTACAATCCACTGTTGTAAAGATTTTTTTTAAGAAGCTAATGATACATAATCTAATATGTCACAAGTAGTGAAATATTGTGTACACAACACTTAAATACACAGATGTATTAGGCATGGTGATAGCAGTACATCTTATACATTTGTAAGATCTTTTAAATTCTGGATAACCAGTTTCATCACCCTAAGTAGAGGTCAGCTAAATAGTTCTACATTTGCATATTAAAGGAAACAACTCTTAGGTGAAAAATCAGATAGCAAAATTTACATCTCAGAGTACCAAGAGACAGTCTGCTGTGCTAGAGGGAATTTAAAATGGATTTAATTTGCCAATTAAACATAAAATTATAGTAGCCTATTATAAAATCCTTTTAAATACATACATATACTCGAGTGCACGCAAGCCCACACACACACACACACAATCCTATAGCTTTTACTTTAGAACTTTAGCCATGAGATAAATATAAATTCACCAGCTTGCGAAAAAAAAGGTTAGATCCAAACAGTGGTTTTTATCTCAGTAGAAAAATAAAAGCAGATTTAAAGCAGGCAGAAAAGAATATAGAGAAGAGAACTTAGGAACTCTATGGTGTCCAGGCTCTTTTCCTTAATGTAAATGTGCACATGGATCATTATATTTCCATTTTACATAAACTCTGGCAAGTAGAGGCACCATAAAACCAACAGAGTGCCTGAAACGGGGTCGTTCTCCTTGCTTCTCATTCTCGGATCATCTGTTTTCCACTTTTTTGTTGTTGTTCTTAAAAGGAACTGAGCTGTGGCCTAGGGTTGTTGTGTGGTGGATCAATGTGTGCCTCTTTTCGGCAAGACCCCACAATGTGTCACCACTGAGTCATTTCCACCGTTTTACATGTGGTGGTTTCTTTCTCCAGAGGTCTATTACCTCTGAGAAGGGTCAAAATGCTGGATGATCAGTCTTATATGCATTTCCTGGACAAGACATTTTTACAATTAATTTTTGTTGGGATTTTCCCTGTAGGGCCGCTGCATGTCACAGGATGTCAATCCCCCCCAGACACTCCCCCTGAAGAAGGGAATTAAATAATAGCAATAATAGTAAAACAAAACCTTATAATTTGTAGTTGCTATATAATAAAGTAAATTTTGCTATGTTGTGTGCTGTTTAATATAATACCTCTCCAGCTCTGTTGGAGGCAGACTATTAACTGCCTTCCTGTAAACCATTTAACCATATCTATCTTCCCCACATTCTTAGCAAAGTTCCCAGGCATCTAGAAATCCCTGTTTTTCTTACTGACCAGCTGCAAGGTCACAAAGCAGATAATCTCAAAACTGCAGAATGTGTTTCTCAAGAAAGGTTACTTTTTAAATGTGAAGTATATCACAAGACATGTCACAAGTTAATAAACCGTTCTTTGTTCTGGCTTCTGTAAATCTGCTTCCTGCTTCGTCATCCGTACCACCTAGGTGCAAAAGGCACCCCATTTTCTTTGTCCTTTGCTCAGAATTAGGAAGTGATTCTGCTGAGCTCATGATTACGTTGAATAAAATCCTCCTGCAACCGATTTCCCACTACACCACAAGGCCCCCAGTCACCCAGAGGTGCCTTTTGGCTGGGAGGAGCAAATGTCTTTTCTCTTAGGAGCTGAGAAAACTCAGACTCTCATTTACCTATTAAAACAACCGTTCAGTTCCTCACACGAATGTGCAGGCAAGCTGAACCAAGATTAATTTTGGGAGAAAAAGCAATAGAGAAAACCCTTTAGAATGCATCTGTGAACTAGAATTAGAATCCTTAACAACTTCCTAGGAGAAAAACCAGCTCAGAATAAACCAAGGACTGTCAACCAAAGGAAGGTCTGGGGCTCGGGAGGACTTACCACTTCCATTAGGGGAGAAGCTCAAAGTCTGGGAGGCTTCAGTGAGCCCTCCTGGTATCCTAGCTCTGAATTCACAGAACTCCTTTGGGGTCCTGAGTATTCTCTCAGGTCCCATGTTGGGTGGCAAATTATTGTCGATGAAGAGTCAAACTGTCTAAAATACGTGAAGAGATTTATTATGAGCCAAATATGTGTGAGCACAGCCAGTGACACAGCCTTCAGGAGGTCTTGAGAACATGAACCCAAGGAGGTTGAGGTGCAGCTTGATTTAATACATTAGAAGGAGGCATGAGACATCAAGTTAAGTTCATTTAAGAAATAAATTGGTTTGGGCCAGGTGTAGTGGCTCATGCTTGTAATTCCAGCACTTTGGAAGATCACTTGAGGTCAAAAATTTGAGACCACCTGCCGATATGGTGAAACCCGGTCTTCACTAAAAATATAAAAATTAGCCAGGATGGTGGTGGGTGCCTGTAATCCCCACTACTTGGGAGGCTGAGGCACAAGAGTCCCTTAAACCCAGGAGGCAGAGGTTGCAGTGAGCTGAGATCGTGCCACTGCACTCCAGCCTGGGCAATAGAGCAAGACTCAGTATCAAAATAAATAAATAAATAAATAAATAAATAAATAAATTGGTTTGATCCCGAAAGGCCAGACAACTCAAAGAGGGGGAGGGTGGTTCCAGGCTATAGGTCAATTTAAACATTTTCTGGTTGACAATTGGCTGAGTTTGTCCAAAGACCTGGGATTAAAGAAAGGAATATCTGGGTTAAGATAAGAAGTTGTGGAGACCAATGTTTTATCATGCAGATGAAGCATCTGGGTAGGGTAGCCGGCTTCAGAGAAAAGAGGTTGCAAAATGTTTCTTATCAGACTTAAAGTCTGCGTTGATGTAAATGCAGGAGAGGGATAATGAGGCCTGTCTGGCCTTCACTTCCCCTTATGGCCTGAACCAGTCTTTCAGATTAAATTTTAAAAGCCGTGATTGAGGAGGAAGTACATTCGGATGATTGGGGGCTGGGGGAAGGGGCTTAGAATTTATATAATGATCTGTTTTACTCAGTCTTGTGAATCATCATGCCTCCCTCCAGAGGTGGCCTAGACCTCTTTGGATCCCGTTCCCAGCACGCGGACTGTCAAAAAGCATTTTCGAGTCCACCAGGTAAAATTGAAGGGGACTGGGAATTGTCAATTTCATTAGATGTGATGGTAACACTATGGAAATGTTTAAAAAATAGGCCTCATTGATTAAACATACTCGAGTATTTAAAGGAGAATTTATGTCCTGGGATGCTTTAAAATTACTCTGGAATAAAAAGGAAAAGGAAAGGCGTATGAGGGGTGAAGCACAGACTTTTTTCTTCGTGTTAGGCAAAATGCAGGCCCCACGGGAAGCTGGCTGTGGGGTGGGTTCCTGTTCTCTGGGCCTTTCCACCCTGACAACTCCATAATAAAACCTACAGCCGCACCGCCGCCTGTGCCGCAGCGCTCACGCAGGGGCGGCCGGTGGGACCCCAGCTGCTCAGACCCCGCGGCCGGGTCCCGGGGTCCACCCACCTCCCTTTCCCGCAGGGGGTTTCTCCAGTCAAGCCCCAACCCTTGGGTGTAAACCCGTTCCCCGGCGACAGGAGCCGGACTGGCGCGGGTAGGCGCTGCGGGGAGGGCCCGAGCTCGCGAGCCTCCGCCCCACACTTCCATCCCCGCGATCCTCGGCTCCCAGCTCCCCGGGCCCCGGTGGGGCTCCGCGCTGCCCGGGCCGGAGCGTCCGCGACAGTCCCAGAGCGCCAGGCCGCCCGAGGTCCCGCTGCCCGGCCGGGGCGGAGCCAAGGACGCGAGGCCTTCCCGCTTCCTGCCGGAGCCGCGGGCCCGCCCCGGCGTCCTCTGCCCGCCTCTTTCCCGCCGCCGCCTTGGAGGGGACCTGATAAGCGCGGCTCTGTGCCTGGCGTGGTTAGGGCGGAAGGTGCGGTCAGCCGGGGCCAAGGCGGGTCGGGGAGGCGCGCGGGAGAGGGCGCCCGGGCGGGGGTGCGTGGGAGGTGGGTGAGCCGGGCGCCGGGTCCTGGGTGGGAGGTGCGTGAGCCCAGGCACGACGGGGACCAGGTGGGGGCCGGGATTCTGGGGACTCGGGGAGGGGAGGGCACGCGGGAGATGAGGTAAACCCGAGGGGTCGGAGGGGTAGCCTGGGGCGGAGTGGGGCCACGCCTGGGGGAGGCCGTTGGGGCTCGCCGGGGTGCGGGCTGGTTCTGCCCTTAGGTGTCTGAGGCCGCTCCCTACACCGCCGCGGCGTGCACTCAGCGGCCGGGTCTCCTCCCTCCTAGCCTGCTGAGGGCACGGCTCCTGGGTGGATGTCACAAGGGTGACTCCTGCAGTTGCCTGCAGCTCCCCTGCCCAGGGAGCCCTCGCTGCTGCCTCAGCCAGACGTCCCGCCAGTCACTGCCATAGGCTCAGCCCACTGTCCTGGGTGGGCTCGGTGCAAACCTCTGGTGAGGAAAGCCTCCTGGGGTGCCCAGCCAGGAGTCTCTCTCAAAGTCCCACACTCTTTCCAAGCAGGAGAGCCAGCGGGATAGGTCTCTTTATAATCCCATTTATGTTGTTTTCCTTTTTCTTCCAGTTTTTTCCATATGACTTTAGTCATCAAATCCCACTTTTTTAGAAACCTTTTACACCAGTGTTTTTCAAACTGTGGTCCCAGGACTAGCACCACTGCCTTCCCTGAGATGTGCTAGAAACATGGGTTCCCCAGCCCCACCCCGACTTTCTGAACCCCGAACCTTGGGGGTGGGTCCCTGTACTTGTCTTTAGCAGGTTCTCCTGGTGGTTCTGATCACTGATCTGAACCCTTAGGGCTTTGAGGAGGCTGAACTGGGGTGAGGATGGGCCAGGTGCCCTGTGATGAAAATGCGTGACTCCAGTCTTCACAGCCTTACACGGTAGGCAATCTTACCCCATTTCACAGATTAGGCAACAGAGGTACAGAAAGTTTAACTTTTCCAAAGTCACACACCTAGAAAGGGGAGGAGCTGGGATTCCGACCTTGGGTTCCAGCTCTAGAACATTCCCACTGAAGCAAGGTCTCCTGTGAAGGTGGGGAGGGGTGAAGCCCAGAGCCTTGCCTGCCTTTGGGTGAGCTCTGATCTGTGTGAGCGGCTGGCACCAGGCCCCAGAGCAGGATGTGTTCACTATGGGGTACTGACTGAGTGCCCAGAGCCCGGGTCCAAGGCGAGCCTCACAGGGTGACACAGGGATGCTTCTGGGTGACAGTGTCTGTTTCCTCTTAAGTCCGATGGGGGCGGACATCTCTTTACCCTTTGCTGGCAGCTGGGAGGGTGGGCAGCCTTACAGATCCAAGTGTGGCTCTGACCTGTGGCCCTGGGTGGGCCATGACCTGCCCTGCCCAGCCCAGCCCTTCTCAAAGCAGGATAAAGGTCTCTGACCACTGCCCCATAGCAGGGTTTCTTGGCCTCCACACTACTAACATTTGGGGCCGGGCAGTTCTTTGCTGTGAGGGGCTGTCCTGTAGCACCCCCTGTCGGGACAACCAAAACCATGTGCAGACACTGCCCAGTGTCCTCTGTGGGGACCCTAGAGGTGATGCCTCCACCCCCATCCTGGCTCCTCCCTGGGGCTCCAGGGTGAGAGGTTTCTTGGTGCACAGCCCCCTTTCCCACAAGAGCTTCCTCCGGCCTGTGCTTGAGGACTTGGTTGTTCATCTGCACGAGCTGTCAGTGACACAGGGACATTGGAGCCATGTTCTCCCTGCAAACACTCCAACGTTCAGGTGGAGCTGAGGGGCCTTTGGCCACTCCCACAGCTGTGAGGCCCCCCACCCTGCAAGGCACTCAGAGCAGGTGGGAATGACTGTGGTGTTGATGGCAGCTGGGCCCTGCTGCTGGGTCACCCTGGCCAGGCCCTCCTCTGGCACCATGTGCAGGCACAGTGAGGGTGGACCCAGGGCTGGACCTAGGTCCGGCTGCATGTATGTCCCCAGCACAGACCACACATCAGGGCAGCACCTGCTGCTCTGGTGTTTGCTGTCACCAAGCACAGTTGCTGTGTGCTCTTGGATGAACCTCCTCGGGTATGCATGTGAGTGATTCACCCGGACTGGGACTGAGTGAGGACGCATGGCCTCTAGTGGTCACTGGCCAGTTGCCTCTGGCAGGGGAAAACCCAGAGCCCTTTGGCTGTGTTCAAGACCCTTCTCCCTACCCCTGCTCTAGTGCCACCAGATGGCAAGGTGAAGCACCTCATGCCAGGTTCATTCATTTATATTAAAAAAATTTTATTGACACATAATAGATGTACATATTTTTGAGGTACCTGTGATAATTTAACACAGTCATATAACTTGTGAAGATCAAATCAGTGCAATGTAGACATCCATCATTTTAGAGATTGGTCATTTATTCTAGAAACATTTGAATTCTCTTTTAGCTATTTTGAAATATATAATGGATTATTGTAAACTATAGTCACCCTATTGATCCATCAGACACTTTCTTATTTCTTTCATCAAACTATATTTCTAGCCATTAGCCATCCTCTCTTCTTCCCCTTGTCCCCCCATAGGCTTTGGTAACCACCAGTGAACTCTCTTCTTTGTGGAAAGTTTTTCAATTACAAATTTAATCTCTTTAATTGTATATCTATTAATATTTTTTATTTCTTCTGGAGTCAATCTTAATAGTTTGTGTGTTTCTAGGAATTTGTACATTTCATCTAGGTTTTCTAATTTTTTTTTAGCTTTATTTTTTAATATTTATTTTAGGTTCAGGGGTACATATGTAGGTTTGTTATAAATTAGATGTCATGGGGGTTTGGTGTACAGATTATTTTGTCACCCAGGTAATAAACATAGTACCCAATAAGTAGTTTTTGGGGTTTTTTTTGAGATAGGATCTTGCTCTGCCATCAAGGCTGGAGTGTAGTGGTGCAATCTTGGCTCACTGCAACCTCTGCCTCTTGGGCTCAAGGGATCCTCCTGCCTCAACCTCCCAGGTAGCTGGGACTACAGGTGCACTCCACCATAGCTGGATAATTTTTGTATTTTTTATAGAGACAGTTTCACATGTGGCCTAAGCTGGTCTCCAACTCCTGAGCTCAAGCAATCTGCTTATTTTGGCCTCCTAAAGCTCTGGGATTACAGGCATGAGCCACTGCACCTGGCCAGATAGGTAGTTTTTTGATCCTCTTTCTCCTCTCACCCTCCATTCTCAAGTAGGCCCTGAAGTCTGTTGTTCCCTTCTTTATGAGCATGTGTACTCAATGTTCAGCTCTCACTTATAAGTGGAACATGTGGTATTTGGTTTTTGTTTCTGCATTACATTGCTTAGGATTATGGCCTCCATTTCTATTTATGTCGCTGCAGAGGACATAATCTCATTTTTTCATGGCTGCATAGTATTCCTTGGTGCATATGTACTGCATATTCTGTATTCAGTCTTCTGTTGATGGGTATTTAGGTTGCTTTTATGTCTCTGCTGTTGTGAATGGTGCTGTGATGAACATACCTATACATGTGTCTTTAGGGCAGAATGATTTATATCACTTGGGGAAAAACCCAATAATAGGATTGCTGGGTTGAATGGTACTTCTGTTTTAAGTTATTTGAGAAATCACCCCACTGCTTTCCATGATGGCTGAACTAATTTACATTCCCACAAGCAGTGTATAAGAATTCCCTTGCAGCACTGTTTACAATAGCAAAGACCTGGAATCAACCCAAATGCCCATTGATAATAGACTGGATTGGAAAAATGTGGCACATATACACCATGGAATATTATGCAGCAATCAGAAATGATGAGTTCGTGTCGTTTGTAGGGACATGGATGAATCTGGAAAACATCATCCTCAGCAAACTGACACGAGCAGAAAATGAAACACCGCATATTCTCACTCATAGGTGGGTGATGAAAAATGAGAACACATGGACACAGAAAGGGGAGTACTAAACACTGGGGTCTATTGGGGGGAAAAGGGGAGGGCCAGTGGGAGGGGGAGGTTGGGAGGGATAGCCTGGGGAGAAATGCCAAATGTGGGTGAAGGGGAGAAGAAAAGCAAAGCACACTGCCATGTGTGTACCTACGCAACTGTCTTGCATGCTCTGCTCATGTACCCCAAAACCTATAATTCCCTTTTGTCTACAACCTCACCAGCATCTGTTATTTCTTGACTTTTTAATAATAGCCATTCTGACTGGTGGATTTTCCAATTTGTTAGCTTATAATTACTCATATATTCTCTTATAATTATGTTTATTTTAGGTCATAATGTTTCCTCTTTCATTCCTAATTTAAGTATTTGAGTCTTCTCTTTTTTTCTTGATCAGTTTAGAAAAGTGACATTTATAGCTATAAATTTCCCTCTCAGCACTGCATTAACACATGCCATAATTTTTTGGTATGTTGTGTTTTCATTTTCATTCATCTCAAAGACATTTCTAATTTCTCTTGTGATTTTGTCTTTTACCCATTAGTTATTTAAGAGTATGGACTGGACATGGTGGCTCATGCCTGTAATCCTAGCGCATTGGGAGCCCGAGGTGAGCAGATCACTTGAGCTCAGAAGTTTGAGACCAGCCTGGGCAATCCAGTAATGCTTCATCTCTACAAAAATTTAAAAAATTAGGTGGTTGTGGTGGCGCACACCTGTAGTCGCAGCTACTCAGGAGGCTGAGATGGGAGAATTGCATGAACCCTGGAGGTCTAGGCTGCAGTGAGCTGTGATCATGCGGCCTGGGTGCCCGACTGAAACCCTATCTAAAAAACAAAGAGTATGTTGTTTCATTTCCACGTATTTATGAATTTCCCAAATTTCCTTCTGTTACTGACATCTAATTTTATTTTATGGTGGTTGGATTTTTGTTTGATTTTGTGTGATTTCAGTCTTAAATTATTGAATTTGTTTCTCCTAAGATAGATCAAGCCTACAAAATGTTCCATGTGCACTTAAGGTTGAGTATTTTGCTACTGTTGCACAGAGGGTTCTGTAGAGATGTGTTTGATCTAATTGGTGTATCACGTTTTTGAAGTTTTCTTTCTTTTGTTGGTATGCTGTTAATTGTCCTATCAATTATTGTCTTTTTCTTCCTTTGATTCTGCCACTTTTACTTCATATATTTTGGGACTCTGTTGTTAGGCATATGTATGTTTGTAATTGTTACAGCTTTTTGATGGATTGACCCTTTTATCATTATCAAATATCGTTCTTTGTCTGTAGTGAGATTCTTGTCTTTATGTCTGTTTTGCCTGATATTATTAAAGTTGTAAAGCCACTCCAGTTATCTTTGGGTTACTGTTTGCATATTATATTATTTAAAGCCTTTTGCTTCCAACCTATCCATTTATATTGAATGTAATAATTGATAAGATGGGATTTATGTCTGCCATTTCGCTATTTGTTTTCTGTGTGTCTTATGTCTTTTCCCCTGTTTCCCCATTGCTACATTCATTGTTTTGTAGTAAGCAGATCTTTCCTAGTGTATCACTTTTATTCGCTTGTTATTTCTTTTTTTCTTTTTTTTTTTTTTTTTTAAGACAGAGTTTCACTCTTGTTACCCAGGCTGGAGTGCAATGGCGCAATCTCGGCTCACCGCAACTTCTGCCTCCTGGGTTCAGGCAATTCTCCCGCCTCAGCCTCCTGAGTAGCTGGGATTACAGGCACACGCCACCATGCCTAGCTAATTTTTTGTATTTTTAGTAGAGACGGGGTTTCACCATGTTGACCAGGATGGTCTCGATCTCTTGACCTCATGATTCACCCACCTCAGCCTCCCAAAGTGCTGGGATTACAGGCTTGAGCCACCGCGCCCGGCCTTGCTTGTTATTTCTTTACATTTTTTTTCTTAGAGATTGCCCTGAGGATTACAATCAGCATTTTGGTTTATAATAATCTAGTTTGGATCAATAGTAACTTAATTCCAACATGATTTACATAGTTGTCTTTAAATTGGATAAGAGAAAAAGGAGTTACTAACAAAAACGTGCTTATCCTTAAAAAAAGAAAATCTGTCTAGGTGGTTACCTTCACCAGTGCTCTTTCTTTCTCTGTGAGGATTCAAGCTACTGTCTAGGGTCCTAATTCCGTCTGAAAGACTTCCTTTAGTGTTTCCTTTAGGGCAGGTGCTCTGGAGACCAATGCTCTGTGTCTGTTTATCTGAAAATCTCTTAATTTCTCCTTTACTTTGAAAAGATAATTTTGCTGGTGAAGAGTTCTTAGGTGACAGCTTTTGTTCTCTGAGCACTTTGATGCCATCCTGTTGCCTTCTGGCTTCTATTTCTGCTGAGAAATGAGCTGCCAATCTCATAGAACAGTGGTCCCCAATCTTTCTGTCACCAGTGACTGATTTTATGGAAGACAATTTTTCAACAGACTGGGGCGGAGGGGAGGTGCTGGTTTGGGGATGAAACTGTTCTACCTCAGATCATCAGGCATTGGATTCTCATGAGGAGCGCACAACCTAGATCCCCTCATGCGCAGTTCACAACACGGTTTGAGCTCCTATGAGGATCTGATGCTGCTGCTGATCTGACTGGAGGGGGAACTCAGGCAGTGATTCTCGCCAGGAATCGCTTACCTTCTGCTGTGTGGCCCGGTTCCCAACAGGAGTTGGGGACCCCCGCTCTAAAGGATCTCTTTTACATGATGAGTTGCTGCTCTCTCCCTGCTTGGAAGATCTTTGGCAGGTCTTGTTGTGCTCTCTTGGAATTTATTCTACTTGGAATTTGTGGAGCTCCATGGATGTGGAAATTAATGCAATCAGGAAAGGTTTTGCCCATTATTTTTCAAATATTCTTTCTACCTTCCCCCTTTTCAACATTTATATTGTTATGCTTGATATTATTCCATAGTTCTTGGGGGTCCTGTTTCTTTTTCTTTGTTCTTTTTCATTTCTGTTTTTCATACTGAATAATCTCGATTTATCTTTCAGTTCAGTGATTCTTTATATTCCCCCCGCTTAGATCGGCCATTGGCTCTTACAGGGAATTTTACCTTCCAGCTGTTGTACTTTAAAACTCCTCAATTTCTATTTGGTTATTTTAAAAAATAATTTCTATCTCTGTACTGATATTCTGTATTTGAGTAGACATCATTTTGAAGCTTTCCTTTGGTTCTTTCAGTTTGGTTTATTAAGTTCTTGGAACATATTTAAAACAGCCAGTTCAAAGTTTTGTCCTCCTTCAGGGACAATATCTATTAGTTTTTTCTTTAATGGGGCATCCTTTCTTATTTATTGGCATGTCTCATTTTTGTTGTTGAAAGTGGACCTTTAACAGTTTATAACACAACAGGTGTGGAAATGAGATTCCCCTCCCCAGGATTTGCTGTTGCTGCTTGTTGTTGTGTAGTGACTTTTCTGAACCAATCCGGTAAACATCCTTCATTCTCTGTCGTATGTGACCACAGAATTCTCTGCCTAGTGCCAGCTGATGACCAGTTATAGATTTCCTTGAACTCTGTGCCTGGAACTCCATGCCTGGAATGAATGTGCCTCCTGGTCTTTACCCATGGGCCCTGTGTACACACTGGACACATCCAGTCCAGTGCTCACCAGAGCCTCCCCAGCCTTTACCTGCTGCTTGTACAAAGCCTCCAGGAGCTGCAAACTTGGGGCCTTCCTAGGAATTTCCTGAGTGTCTTCCTGGCCATGGGTGTAGCACTATCCATTAGTGGCCTGCAATTAGATTGGGGCAAAAGTAATTGCAGTTTTTGCCATTAAAAGTAATAACAAAAACCGCAATTACTTTTGCACCAAACTAATAGATTCCCCGAGTGTGTGGGAACTTTTCAAAACCCCCATTGACATCCCCTCCCTCAGCTTTTCCTTTGAAGCATTTTCATTAGTCTATTGTCTATCCCAGCAGGTAGCCACTGTGCCGATAATTGTTTTCTACGAACTTTTCCCAGGGCAAAAGGTTTTTGCACCAGGTGAACTCCAAGTGGGGTTAAATAGAGACAGCCCTCTAAGTGGGGTTTTAGGGATCCCCATATGGGTGAAAAAATAATTCTTTGGGCATGGGGATTTGAAAGAGCTCCAGCCTTGTCATACCCTCCAGGCTGCTGGCTCTCACTGCAATTGTGGGCTGTTGAGAGCTGGAGTGGGTGGTGGGACCAGGCAAGTTGGAACATCACCAGCATCTTGAACGTTACACAGTGATCTTTCTTGCTGAGAGTCAGCCATTTTTCTTGAATAGGTATTCCTGGATGCCTCAAGCCTTTGATACCAATAACAGTTCTGAAAAAGTTGATTTGGACAGTGTTTGCTGCCTTTTTTTTTTTTTTTTTTTAAATTGAGACGGAGTTTTGCTCTTGTTACCCAGGCTGGAGTGCAATGGCGCGATCTCAGCTCACCGCAACCTCCGGCAGTTCTCCTGCCTCAGCCTCCTGAGTAGCTAGGATTACAGGCACGCGCCACCATGCCCAGCTAATTTTTGTATTTTTAGTAGAGACGAGGTTTCACCATGTTGACCAGGATGGTCTCAATCTCTTGACCTTGTGATCCACCCGCCTCGGCCTCCCAAAGTGCTGGGATTACAGGCGTGAGTCACCGCCCCTGGCTGTTTGCTGTTTTTTTTAAATTGCTTTTATAGAAGCGAGTATTTTCAGAGGCCCTTTTTTGCTGACTTCAGCTTATATATGTTTGTGCTCTTCTGTATGTTTTGTGCTCACACATGTGCATATTAAACAACAAACTATTGTAAATTGGAGTTAATGATGCTGGTGGAGCAGGCGCAGAGTAAGGGCTGCAGTTTGGATGGGACGATGCCGGCCTGGGGCTGGACAGGTGCCTGAGGTGCCTCGAGTGTTAGTGCTGTGGGATTCAGGAACTCGGCCCTACAACACCCTGTTGCTTTGTGTCTCTCACTGTAGGACTGCCAGGCACTCAGCTGTGCCCACATGGATGGGACAGAGACCCGGCAGCGGAGGCTGGACAGCAGTGGCAAGCCAGGGGAGCTGGGGCTTCCTCACCCGCTCAGCACAGGAGGACTCCCTGCAGCCTCAGAAGATGAAGCTCTCAGGGCCCCTGAGAGCCAAAGTGTAGCCCCCAAGCCACTGGAGACTGAGCCTAGCAAGGAGACCGCCTGGTCCATCGGCCTTCAGGTGACCATGCCCTTCATGTTTGCAGGCCTGGGGCTGTCCTGGGCCGGAATGCTTCTGGACTATTTCCAGGTAAGAGAGAACTAAATGAGGATGGGGACGGGGGCACTGTCAGATGTCACCTATAGAGTAGGCAGCTTCACATCAGGTCCAGCTTAAAGGATACTGGAAAGGCCTCTCAAAAAGCCTTTTTTTCCTGTATATTGGGCAAGATTTTTTTCTTTTTTTTTTTGAGACGGAGTTTCGCTGTCATTACCCAGATTGGAGTGCAATGGTGCCATCTCGGCTCACCACAACCTCCGCCTCCTGGGTTGAAGCAATTTTTCTGCCTCAGCCTCCCAAGTAGCTGGGACTACAGGTGCATACCACCATGCCCAGCTAATTTTTGTATTTTTAGTAGAGACAGGGTTTCACCATGTTGACAAGGATGGTCTCGATCTCTTGACCTCGTGATCCACCCACCTCGGCCTCCCAAAGTGCTGGGATTATAGGTGTGAGCCACCGCGCCCGGCAGGCAAGGTTCTTTTAGTCTCTTGTCATAGAGACTAAATTTAATTCAAGTTAATTTTCAATAGATGGTTTATTAGCCCATATAATTGATGTAGACCAAAACTTACTTAATCATTTCCCTTCTGATGTACTTTGAAGTTTAACAGCTGTGTCAGTCAACTAGCACTGCCATAACAAAGTCCCACACAGTGCGGGGCTTCAACAACAGACCTTTATTTTCTCATAGTTCTAGAGGCTGGAAGTCCAAGATCAAGGCGCCTGCAGTGTTGGTTTCTCCTGCAGCCTCTCTCCTTGGCTTACCAGACACAGGCTTGCCTCCTCCCTGTGTCTTCACATGATCTTCCCTCTGTGCATCTCTCTGTCCTAATCCCTCTTCCTAAGCCCCGTCCGATTGGATTGGGACCCACCCTAATGACCTCATTTTAATTTAATTACCTCTTTGTTGTTGTTGTTGTTGTTGTTGTTGTTGAGATGGAGTCTTGCTCTGTCACCCAGGCTAGAGTGCAGTGGCGTGATATTGGCTCACTGCAACCTCCGCCTCCCAGGTTCAAGCGATTCTCCTGCCTCAGCCTCCCAAGTAGCTGGGATTACAGGCATGTGCTACCATGCCTGGCTAATTTTTGTATTTTTAATAGAGATGGGGTTTCATCATGTTAGCCAGGATGGTCTCCATCTCCTCACCTCGTGATCCACCTGCAGGAGCCTCCCAAAGTGCTGGGATTACAGGCGTGAGCCACCACACCCGGCCTAATTTAGTTACCTCTTAAAGGCCCTGTCTCCAATTACAGTCTCATTCTGAGGTACTGGGTGTTAGGACTTCAACATATGAATTTTTGCAGGGACATACTTTGGCCCATAACTACTTAAAAATATTACTAACAAATGCTACAATGAATAATCTTGACATAAATCATTTTCTACATTTCTGAGTAAATCAGTAGGATAATTTGTTGCAAGTAGAATTGCTGCGTAAAGAGCATGTGTCTTTGTGGCTTTTATGGAGATCACCAAATCATCCGTCTAGTGGTAGGACGTCATCCTTCCTCCAGCACCCCAGGGAAATGCTTGTTCCCAACACTCAACCAACACAGGTCTTTTTAACCTTTTTGATCTTTAGTAATCTGCTGGCTGGAAATTGCATTTCATTATATTTAATTTAATTTCTCTTGGTGCCTAACAAGTTATCCCAAAACTCACACATTATATTAAGCATGTGTGTATTATTTGGATCCAAATAATACACACATGCTTAATATAATAGCATGTATTATCTCATGGTTACTGTGGGTAAAGAATCCAGGTAAAGTTTAGCTGGCTTTCTGTTTCATGGTCTCTCCTGAGGCTGTGGCTCCAGTCCAGCTCACTCACAGGGTGCCGTTCCTGGTGGGTACTAGCTTACCAGCCTCAGCTTCTTCCTGCTGTTGTCCAGAGGCCCCCTCAGGTCCTCTCCATGTGGACACCTCCAGCATGGTGCCCGCTGCATCAGGGTGCAGTCCTAGATGGAAATAGAGACTGCTGGTGAGACAGACATCACTGTCTTCTGTAACCTAGACACAGAAGCAGCATGACCTTGCTTCTGTTGGTGTGAATCAGGTCACCACGTTCAGCCACATTCCAGGGGAAACGATTGCCTAAGAGCATCAGTACCAGGAGGCAGGGTCAGGGGCCGTCCTTGAGGGCTGCTGCCTGCCATGGTCATTATCGTGTGGTCTGTGCTGCTTATTATGAGTGAGAGAGGTTGAGGATCTTGACATTTCTTTTATATTCTTTGCTCTTATTTCTGTGGAGTGGTTGTCTGTTTTCTTCTTGATACCTAGGGGCTTTGTATATATTAAGGAAATTGGTCATTTAATTGTGATGTGGATTACAAATGTTTCCTATTTTTTTTTTCATTTGTCTTTTGACTTTGCTTTTAGTGGCTTTTTGCTGTGCATTCATTTTTTCAAATGCAGTCTCAGTCATCTGTCTTTTAGTCTCATTCATCTTTCTTATAAGGCTCTGAGCCTATGCCCTCCTTAGAAACAAGCTGCTTTTTATATAGGTCCCTATCTGCCCGTGTGCATGCACAGAGCAGCATGTATTAGAGTCTAGGGATGTGTTCCTATGAAGAAGAAAAGCTCCCCTCTGCTACAAGCTGCTTTCTTTGCATTTATATGAGAGGTTCAAAGTGGGTGTACACAGCTGTTGTGCTGGTCTGCATTGTTTGTTGACTGGTTATTGTTTAGTTCAGTGCAAACATTTCAAAACTGGAAGCTTTTCATTACAGTGCTTATATTCAGCTCCTCTTTAAAACTCAGAAGATTTGGCAACATGTGGTTCATGTATCAGTTTTCTGTTGCTGTGCTCAGATTACCACAAATGTAGCAGCTTAAAACAACACACACTGAATAGCTCATGGTTCTGTAAGGCAGAGTGCAGGCATGGTATGGCTGGGCTCTCTGCTAAGGGTCTCAATGGCTGAAATCCATGCGCTGGCCAGGATGTGTTCTCTTGAGGCTCTGGAGAAACATCCACTTCCAAGCGTATCTCTGTCTTCAGAACTCCCCTCCTTGTGTTCCTCTTTGAGGCTGAAGGACTGCGGTTCCATTTCCTTGCTGGCTGTCAGCCAGGGGCTGCACTTCACTTCTCAAGGCCACTCCCGTGTCCTGCCATGTGGCCTTTCCATCTTCAAAGGGATTAGTGGAGAAACCTGCCTTGAGTGAAACCCCTTTCTGACTTCAGGAAGTGCCTACTCCCTTTAAAGGGTTTATCTTATGAAGCCAAGCTCATCTCAAGTGAATCTTTCTGAAATTCCACCAGGCCTCCTCACCAGAACATGTGGAGCAGGCAGGAATGCCAGCAGTCTCCAGAAACAAATCTGGTTCTGGGCTCCATGCATGGGCTGGGATGAGTGTTGTGTGCATGTGCCTGGAAGAACGGGGGTCTCCAGGCAGGTTATGGCCTTTCAAGGACACGGAGCAGCCTAGAAAGGCCAGGAGGACAAGAGGGCTGGCTGGAGAGACATTTGTGTGGGCAGAGAGAGAAGACTGGGGGTGCAGGAGGAGGTGAGGGCAGCCTATTTTGACTGCCTCCTTTTCACTCTCCTGCCTCCTCTTCACTCATGCCCTAGGGTTATGGGGATAGTGGACACGCAACACCTGGCCCTGGACAGGTGGGGACCACGGCAATTTTTCAGTCCTCATATCCACCACCCAGGCAGGAGGACGCCACACACCTTGCAGGGCCTCTCGAGAGCAGAGTGAGCCAGCAGGGGATGTGGGGGGCAAGATTTGTCCTAACAAGAGACGGGGGAACTGATCCCACCTCCATTCCTGACTATTTACATAATTTCACAGGGTGGTGGAAACTGAAGTCTGCTTCTTGGGGTTGTGGAGGGACAGTGCCTGCCCTGAGATAAGGATGCTGTTGGGCTGGGAACCTCGTCCACAGGAGCAGAGTCAGGAGGGGAATGTACTGCTCGCAGCATCTTACTCTCTCCAGGTGTTGGGGCAGCACTTTATAGTTTTAGGCCTTACCCTATCTTTGACCCCTTGATGCCTTGATGCCAGCTTCAGCCCTGGTGGTGACTGAGACTTTCAGGGAATAGAACAGCCTCTCCAGGAAGCAGGGTAGGCCCTTGGCCAAGAGGGAGAGGGCCATGTGGTGCCCTTGGAAAGTATCTGCTTTGTGGCTAGGAAGGGGAACAGAGGGATTTGGTGGTCTGGGTATGGAGATTGCCTGTCCCTGGGAGGCTTAGATCTGGCTTAATCAGTGCCTGTGACAGTGGTGACACCCAGTGAAGGTTCCTTTGCCACCTGTCACTTCATAAGAGTTCTTTGAGGGGCCCATCTGCCTCCTGCTGACCCTGGCTGCCTGTGGCCCACTCAGGAAGTGGGGGTGCTGCCAGGTGCTTCCTGCAGAGCTGGTGCTCTGTATTTCAAGAAGGAAATGAGGGCCTTGGCCACCGTCGGCAGTGCCTGAACCTTAGAGGATCAGGAGCGATTGGCTGAGGCCTTGCGTTGTGGCTGTAGTATATGCGTAGGCATTTGTAACCCTGTTTTAAGTTTTGTTTGTTAGTGAGGCAGCAAATTCCCAGAGCTCTTTACATCCAAGTGAGGCAGCTTCGAGGCCATGGGCCAAAAGCCTGTGCACAGGTGCAGAGGGAGCCACTGGCAGGCCAGGGTGCCGATGCCATTGATTGCCTGATGCTTGGCCACTGTGCTGACCCTTGGAGGTTTGCTCCTTATAAGGGACTTTCTGGTTAAGATGGAAAGCAGCACCCTTCCCCTGAGCTCCCTTGAATATTACACAGCAGCACCCTCCATGAAGCCTACAGCACCCCCACCACCACCACCATGAACAGCCAGCCCATCTCAAGGGGCCTTGGGTAGCCAACGGCCCCAGGGAGGGGTGACTCCTCTGGCACCATGGCATTTGGCAAAGGACTGAGGACACGGGAGACCACCCCTCCTGCAGGTGGGATATGCCAGAGGGCCCAGGTTTGGCTCTATTCTGTTTTTAAGGAGACCTCAGCAGCTGTACTGAGGTTGGGAGTGCCACTTCTGAAGGCATAATGGGCAGCG